TTTTTTTTTATGTGAAACATTCTCAAGCGAGCAGGCGGTACACCTGATGTTCAGTGATTTCACTGATGGCCACCTGCAAGTCCTGATAGGTTCTAAACGCGTTGACAACCATTTTAAAAGCGGGCACTGCTTACTTCACTCACCAGTAGAAGCGCGACAGTGCAACACTTCCCCGTATGAGCCTGCCCATTCGTGCAACAGTTGCAGCTGCTGCGTGGCCCTACCACACCCAATTATAATAACACTGATATGAGGCCGGAAAATTGTTAAAAAATGAAGGCGCTTAACAAAGATCACTAGTGTTTTCTTGTTTACTTGATTTCACTAGTGAAACAATATCACGGCTTTGGCAATATAGCTGCGATATATACAAATCTGAAATTGGGAGGGGAAATCATTCAATCAAACTAAACACCGATTGCAGCTAAAGATTATTCGCGATAAAGTGACTTCGCGTATCATCACGTACGTAATTAATTATAGATTGTCGCAATCCAATGACCGATTAAAGATCTGCGATACGTACATTACCTACCTTATAGGTCGGGACGTTAGCAGTGTTCCGAGTTTGGGGAGCATGTTCATTGAATATTTATAACATTCGCGTGTGTCGTGCTTCTAAATCGACGCTTAACATCAACGGTTTAAAGTCTCTTTTCGCTTCTCTAATTACATAATCGAAATCTTTAAGAAAGATGGGCTGTACAACAAAGCGCACACCTATTTATTCTGCCTCATACAGTAGTGTATATAAGGTTTGGTTATTTAGTTAGGTTTCTTTAGTTAAATGATGAATATAGAATATTTATTTTCGCATTTGTAAGCTATGGACAATGATGTTTTAATAAAGATGATGCATGTCTATAGACACGCAGTATACTGCGTAGCGTTTAAAAATTGTTCCGCTTTACATTATATGACATAATATGTAAGTGAATGTGTGACAGATGATGTACGATACGGAAAGAGATAGCAGTCTATAGAATTGCAATATAATTATAACAATTGTGTTTGTTTATATCATTGGCTTTGTATATAGTTTTGTATGTACTACATTTTTATTACAAAATAATAAAACCGACTTCAAATATATCACCTATACATTTTCTATTTGATTTTATCTTCGGATTCCAAGATCTTAAACCAATGACATTAATATGGGACCACATGAGGGCCCAATGCATAAAATCGATACACATATCGCCGAGTTCTGGAGGAAACAAATAACTAACTTTTTTAAACCGGTTGAAAATCGATTGTCGCTAATACAATTTGTAGAAGAGTCAGGTACTCACTCTGACAATGAAAAAAAAAAAAAGGTTGGTGATCTTGTTAGTTCAATCTTGCTTAGCAAAACATTTACTACTATGCACGGATATCGAGGGAGTACATATAGGTGTCTACACATCCTTTCACATTTGTTGTAAACATCTGTAACCGCTTAAACCTCCTGTCGTGAATGCAAATTTGAAGCTCGAGATATAATCGGACGTGTTTACTAATGAAATATTTATACAGTTCGGTGCGTCATCGTTTACTTTACTCTAAACGTGTTTATAACAGGCGTAGTAAATTGAAACGTTTCACACAAGTTTTTTAGCACATTAACCTGTTGAAAAGCGCTTTACCTGGCAAATAAATATTGTTAGATGGACATAGTTAATCGCACATACTTTACGATACGAACGTGTATGTATATAATTGTAACTGTAATCAAATTTGTGAATATTAATTACTTTACGCTACTTACGCTCGGTTTCTGAAACACTGATTGTTAAACTCTTAGAGTGATCTTAATGATCAGAATGATCAATTCAAAGAGTATAATAATCGTTTTGGCAAAACAAATGATATTTGAAAATCCATTTGACAGCTGATTAGTGACTTTTACGATGATCACGCCCGGTTTCTGAAAGGCTGATCATCGTAGATGTCAACTAATCAGCTGTCAAATGGCTTTTCAAATTTAATTTAATTTGCCAAAAAGATGGTAAACTTTCTGAATTGCCCAGCATTGCTTTTGGCAACTGGATATAATAATAATATTATTATATCATTTATATAATAATATTATTATTATATCCATATATAATAATATTTAAAACACTAGCCGATGTGCACTTTGTGACTTCTTTATTTCGTTTCCGTTGAAACCTCGGAATAAAAAGTATATACAAAAATTCTCATAAGAGCAAATATCAAGTCAATCTATCGGCTAGTTTTCGAGTTTTTCTAACACAAACAGACGTAAGCCAAATTTGTTATATAATCTGAACTATCAATAATTTGAAAATGAAAATTAAATTAAATAAAAACAAAAAATACTGTAAAATTTGATGCCTCCATTTTCGAAGATGCAATACTATTCGCTGCGATGGCTTCGCTGTCGCGGTTAGTGGTTCTAAATAAACTTCCAGACGAAGCTAAGAGGCAGTTCACTTGATGACACTTAAGTTTTCTTTTCTTCATTATTTAAAAAAAAACACTGCCCTTACTTTAGAATAACATTATCCTGTGTTGTTAGAGTGTTTTACAAACATAAATTTCATGCGGACAAACACCCAGACGCGAAATTACTGTCTGGGTCACACAAATACATGATCCGTGGGAAAATCGAACCCACGAAGGGTTGGGGATGTATTGGTAAACTTTTAAAAAACTGTCATCGGTTACCTCACGCACCACCCGGGAAATTACCGGGAATTTATATTATTATTCCTTCTCTCGCGGTCTCTTGTGAAACCGTGGTACTTCCCCGGACGAACCTGCCCATTCATGCAACAGTAAAGCTACTGCGTGGTTCTACCAGTCTTCGTACAGTTGCAAGTCTATAAATGACCCTAGGAGACAGGGCAATGTTAGCTTCTAATAACGCTCTGTGTGACGTCACACGAAACGTGTCCTTAAGCCGGGCGTTAACATCACTTCTGGAAGGTCGACATTGATTGTACGACAGCGGCTTATCGACACATCGCAGATAGGCTTGATCGCTTTCGAGTGGATTGCCGATAAGCCGATATGATGGCGTCACGACACTAGTCGCTTCAAAGCTATCGATCGAAATTTTTTGACTTTAAATTATATTGAAATGTTCAATTGAATTTTCACCGAAGTCCAGACGTCCAAATATTTTGAATTTTTGCATGAATAACCGATTACAATACCATTAATTTAAAATTGCGATATACCGGATTATTTGTATATGAATACGAAACACAAAAGTTAGTAAGAAATAGAAATATACGTGTATTCAATTATAAGTGTAGGCAACTCTTTATTGCCTATGCAGCGATGTCGTTGTATGTAAAAATATATTCAAAGAAAGATCAATCAGCAGAATATGTGTTGCCGCCAATGCTCAACATGTGTGTCCCTTTATAACTCGGGTTATTGACCTCAGTTACACAGTAAGTTGTTCGCACGTTATAAGACACAATTATAGTAAGTTAAAGTAAGCCTGATAAAATGTGTCTACGTGACTATTTAGTATGAGGACGTTTGTTAGGAAACTACCCAAACGGAGTGCTTGTACTATTTGCCGATCATTTGTGACGACGTGCTTCTCCTTGGGGGGGAGTTAGCCCGTTCGAAGAGCCACAGAAGCCGTTGCCAGTCCTCTCACACTTTCGGTCGTGATGATTCGTTCAGAATATTCAAATACTGATATAGAAGCTATTTTATATTTCGCTCATTATTAAAAGTAAAAGTAAAATATAATTTATTGTACACCAAGAGATATTACAGTATTTATAATTAAAAGACGCAAGAGTACAACAGGTGACTTATTGCTGAAGTAGAATTATTTTCAGTACCACGACTTTTAATTATAAATCTGTGGTATAATTTGCTATCGTAGAACTGCGCAGCATCTCGCAGGAAGGTACAATATTACCTTCGTATAAGTATTTGTGGTAGCCGTGGTTAATTGAATTATTGGTACCGACTTCTCGTCCGCAACTTTCTCCAGTAAAAACGGAACCAGTACAATTGGAATCAATAACAATTGCAGTAAATTATTTTACTGAATAAAATTTTACGTTCAAAACGTAAATTTGCTTTTCGTTAGTAACACTTAAGACGATAGCCAATATTAACGATGTTACGGAAAAAAATTTTTATATAGCCGTCTCAATAATCGTATAGGTTATGGTTTATAATATTGACGTGAAAGTGAGGTTACGTTGTGGCATTAGATAATGTGGGTCGGCCTAGCGCGATATTAACGCCCCAAGCACGGATTGAATTAAAATTATTCGTTCGACGGCAAACATGGCTTATTTAAGTAAATTAATTTGTCCCCATATCCGTAATTATTAGTATTTTGTTTTTCATTGGTCTCCCTCTGGACGAATGTCGTGAGTGTATATTTCTTATATACATTGTATATCTGTGTATAGATATACATATTATATAGATCGTACTTCCATATGTAAGATCTATCATTGAACTGTCATCGATGAAACGTATCATTTTCTTTTGCAACCACCGGAGTAATTATTTATTCCGTAGACCATTTTAACTACTTTGTGTACCTACTTGGGATATATAATGACAACCATAAAAAATGGACAAAAATACCTTTGTAGATTTTCTTAAGGGAAAAGGAGGCAAAGTCTCCCTTGAAACCGACGCACTTAATAAGTATTTAAATTGTTTCGTACCAATTATTTAAAAGTATTTAATAGACAAACATAAGAAAAATATGTTTTGCGATTTTATGCAATATTTATGGAAATGAATTGAAATATTAGGTGATTACCGCTGCTCATAAACCTTCGTAACATCAGAGGTTGTTAGATCACGCCACGAAGTCACGAGTCAGTGATGTGTTTTTTTTTTTTAAATTAAAAACTATCCAGCGCTTGAATTCCATCCCAATTGATGGTAAGTAGCGATGCAGCCGTTGATGGTAAGCGCGCTGTGACTACGGGGCTCCATAAGAGTAACGCCATGGGAACCACAGGAACTGACCTATGCCAATATATAACTCGTAAACTCACCTATGTGGCCCGTGTGCTGGAAGTTGGTCGGCGCGCTGATCATGGAGCGGTCTATTCTCCGCCGCGTGCGCTGCGCCTGCGCGGCCGGCTGGTAGCAGCAGGCGAACCACTGGAGCCACATCTCGCTGCCGGTCGTCGCCATTTTCCAGAAACCTCGCGCCGCCGGCACGCAAGTTGGCCGCCGAAAAGGGCGCGCTGTCAAGGCTTTCGTTTCCGGATCCCGCCCCGTTCGGACGCTTTCGCGGGAATGCTTCCGGCTTTTGTTAAGGTCGATGTGGATCTAGAACCTTCGCGCCACGAGCACGCAAGATGGCCGCCGAAAAAAAGGCGCAAAGCGTTCGTTTCCGGATTCCGCCTAGCTATTACGGTCGATGCGGCTTTGGTCGGCACGTTTCGCGTGTACTATTCGTCCGCTATCGCGACGAGTATCTTGTTAAAAAGCGTTGCGAGCCCTCGCTGATCTCCCGCACACTGATAACTGTGACGGCATGACTCTCCAGATAAGTACTGAAACAAGAGAGAAATAATACGTCAATTCTCTGAAGTCTATAACAGGGCAAATATTGAGACAATAAACATTAAGATAAACGGCTATTGGTGATAAAACAAAGTGGATTATGTACAATTATCCCGTGCTTACATGCCACTGGATGTAAACGACATCGTAATTAAAGAAACATTCGTTCAAATGAAAACGAACCTTATGATGACATAAACAAAATTAGGCTAATTGCGGTCCACTGTGAGTATACTCGTATCGTGTGTAAGTAATTTGTGTTGGGAAGAAAACATGTTGTAAACAAGTCATAATAGTCACTAGCTCAATCGCTTAAAATTATTAGAGTTGCTTTAGCCTTGATGATTTCGATGATCCACAGACTTATTGGTACAAGGAGCTGACATTATTTGTAGCTCTTGCTGTATTGCACTCGGCTTTGGTCTTTTTAAGTTACATAACACCAAAATTTAGTAGTGTAGCAGTCCTTGCTTTGTTAGAGCAGTTAAATATAGAAGACTTTTAAGTGACCACAGTTTTAACCTCATAAATAGGTCGTTGAATAAACTTGATTTCAAACATTAAATTGAATATATCTTAAGCCTGTTACGGTGTAGATGTTTTGACATTTTTTTATGTGACAAGGTGGCAAACGAGCTGGCGGTTCACCTGATATTAATTGCCCATAGACATTTGCAACACCCGAAGGGTTGCAGATACGTTGCGAACTTTTTATAAAGTGGGTCACGGTTACCTCGCTCACCAAACGAAACGCGGAAGTATATATTTCCACTTAACGCCGGTCTTCTGTGAGGTACCACGACCTTACCCGGACGGACCTACTGCTAATCGTATTCATTTTTACGTACTTTCAATTCTTATCGATAATAAATACATCTGTATATTTTACACAGCCAATGGGAGCACATCCTTATTTGCGAACTGTGCTAGGATACATAAATAAAACTTTATTGCATTCGGAGAAAGTCATTTACCGCCGGCCGACGCGCTGAGAATGCAAGTAATAAATATCTCGCGTTACATCCAGACGTGCCAAACATTACTGCCGCACCATTTCCTGGTTGGATGAAGATATAGTCTATTTATGTCGGGGGTGGTAGGCGAGTGGTGGAAAGGTTCGAGGAGTGGCAAAGACCGTGGGCGCTAGGCGAAAATCAAAGATGGAATGGTGCGTGTCTTCGAGACGTTAATAACGGTCGTCACTCGACTTTATATCATGGCTGACCATCATTATTCAAACAATCTGTGAACTTTTTACCTGTAAATGGAGATGGCGTAATGACTTAGGAGAAGTTGCCTCTATATTAATTTTTACAACTATTTATCGTATTACATATTAGTATACAACGTAAAAGTTTTAAAGAATGAATATATGTAGAATGATTTTTTCTGAGATAAAGATTAACATAAAACATTGACTAAAATTGCCTACAAACAAACTTTGATTACTGTTTTCTTAGTTGCATTACTTTTTGATTGGAGAAAATTTGCGGTAATCGAACCCACGTCTTCCAGATTCAGGGCAGACGCTTTAGAAGCTGATTTTTGTACTATTTTCTACAAATTTGAACAGACATGAATGCTATTATTAATAATATTAAAGTAATATCTATGTTTGTAGATTTAGAACATTTTGACATTAACCGAAAGTAATCTTTCTTTAAGTTTCACCGAAGTTGACTTCAAAAGAATGCCAATCGGTTCTTTCCATCTTTTTATAAATTTAATCCAATTGAGGCAAACTAAAAATCTATGTCAGATCCTATAGCGTCAAAGTGGACAGAAGCCAGTGCATAATAAAACCCAAAATCACATTAAATTTATTAATTTCTTCGTGTCCGGCTGAAGATGGCAAGCGGCATTCTCAGACTGCTTTCAAGTCGCCTCAAAACCCGCTATTTATAGCACGCAAGCGTTAAATTTAACAGGACGTGGACGCATAACGCGAAACCTGCTATCGTCGCGGAGTTCGCAAGAAACCTGTTTAAATAATGTCGCACTCTACATTATAACATAACGGTTGCGTTGCGCGCATCAGGTTAATTTCTCTTACAATGGTGGTATTACTAAGTGATCAATATAATGAGAAAGTTTATTACAATAATAAAATTTCCCATTAATGTGTAACAAATTTTCTCATTCATTCATATTTAAAGTAAATGAAACACAGTATAGTAGTATATAGTTCTAGCAAATTATTTACAAGAGTACGAGCAGACTCTCAACAGCATTAAAACTAGACTACATTTAATATAGTTGCTTACTACGAAATTCCTCGAAATTATGTCGCATATCAATAAAGTTCCATTTGCTTTGGCGTGCGTAAGTAATGCATGCATTGCATATTTTCATAATTTCGATTCGCAGCAAATCATTCATAAACTCTTTGCGTTCAAAGCCACGGTCAAAATCAACTGTGTGATTAAAACCGGTTCCCGCTTAATGGAAGTTGAGCGACATAAAGACAGACCGATCAATTAAAAGCGTATCGGTCAGCCTGAGGTCCGGAGGGATTTGCGTCAGCTGCACGCAGCAGTGAAAGTCCTCCACGGACCAACAAACAACTCGAAACACTCGAAAATGGACCTTATGCTCTAACGTGAACATATATAGAGCCCAAAGTTTCGTGTGAACCAGACTGTAGTTAGGCGGAAAACGAAAGTGATTCTACGATAAAACCAGATGACAGCTGTGAATATAAAATAATGTATAGTTGACGTCAAGGAGTTGATCAAGAGTTATTTCTAAGAGATCGGATTACGTTGAGGTATTATGGCAATGTTGTAACGGATCACCATGGAGAATTGTCGGGCGCGAGCCCAAGTTAAAACGGTTTAGAACGTGTAGTAATGACTTTTTATTTAATTTACTCGAGGAACTCGGTGCTATACTTGAATAGAATTGGCAGGTAACACTCGACATCAATATTTCCTGTCTTGAGATATTAAGACAGCTGCATGTGTTAGCCGTATCCACCACCTTACATTGATTCGTTCACCGTACGGGTCAAAAATTTGTGTGCTCGAATAATAACGTCCTAGAATAAAATTTCAGTCTGTGTCAATATAAAATCCCCAGCGACTCCCCTGAGTGTAGGTAACAACATGAAATAAATAGGGTGCAACGCATTTAAAACTTCTTTTTAAACGGCATACGGGCTCTTTATGCAATTAAGTTTTTTTGATACGATGTCTTCAATAACTTTTAAAACCAAATTATTAACATTTAAAACCTAAAACAACGTACCTCCACACGAACGTGCGATAGTAATTAAAGCCTCAAAAAACCTTTGTCTTTGTGCGGTTAGCAAACTGAATGCGCCCTAAATATAATTATGACTCACAAGAGTACAGAGAAAACGCGAATATATTTGCTCAGTGAGTGAAACTGTGTGGGGAGGGCGGTGAAGGGTGAAGCACCTGACACTCGCTTGAAGACGCACGAATCATTTCGGGAAACAACGCGCGGTCTTGCTACAAGGGTTCTGGAATGGTCGCCGACCGTGCAAAGTTATTCTCGTGTGCGTATAGTACCGACACGAACACCGGAATACATTTTACTCGTGTGAATATATAGTTAAATCATAGGAAACTCAATAAATTATAAAGACTGAAAATAGACCGCTGCAATAATGAAATTTCGCCCGGAACGTTCTATCAGTTTTATATGTATGATATTACAAAGTAAAAAAAATTCCTTACACTCTGGAGGGAATGGAAAGTATAGACCTACAATGCATAACAGTAGTATACTTATCTTAGTACGAGGTACAATAAGATTAAACATGATAAATGAATTAGAATAAATCAGTAAGGTATTTGAAATGATCCTTATGACCAATCGATGGTAATCCAGGATTAAAATACGGGATACTATCAATTTCGAATCAATACCACTACAATAATACAATATCGTCACCTTATTGTTGCGGTTAGTGGTAAAAGGGTCGGTTGTTTTCTCGCTGAAAGGTTAAGTATAAACATTCTAAGAGTATTTGCAGCTGGAGTCCTTGCTACCGTGGCACAAGATAATCGATTGGTTAACTTAATATTTGTAAAAAATGTGTAAATATTTTTTGTTATTGACGAATTTATAAATATATCTAGTAATAACTTGTTGTCATATTGGCCTGTAACATTGTCAACTTATATGTATATAAGTAAGACATAAGTTAGTTTCGACTAAAATACAATTTGGGCTATTCTACGTGTATTGCAATTTTATGTTTTCTTTCCACTTCGGATAACACAAAACTACGTCACTATTAGACTTAGGTATAGAAAGGAAACTAGGCAAACCAAGAAGTTTTTACAATTTCAAAGATTAATGTCAAAATCCACTAAAATTCGGACAGATACGTTGACTTTCCCACTAGTAACGAACTACTAACGAACGAGTAGTAATAGTAACATTCTTTTTAAAACTCTAAGCATATTATTAAAATATAAATTGTCACTCTTGTAATGATTGCTAATTTAAAAAAAAACCTGTTCATACTTGTATTTTATACCCTTTCGCCTTCTGTTTCACCGTAACTATTGATTTGCGATCGAAAGGTTCGATAAAGCGACCTTTAAAGTTGGTGGCGGTTCAATGCGGGCGCGTAATGAGTCGTGCGCCAATCG